ATATTATATATTATACACATCATACAGTAAATAGAATAAATATAAATTACACAATCCAAGAGCTACCTTTTATTTAAATGCAATTCCTAATAAGTGATAAGAAATATGAAGCACAAATATTGTCGTGATATTTTATAAGTAATGGGTTGTACTAATGTATAAAGAAAAAGAATCGTTAATGGATTGCTGTTTTCATAAAAAAATATTTTTTTGTTTTTATACATTTAGTCTATATTTTTAATTTTTATCATAATATATCATATCTCTATTTTTTCAAGTAAAAAATAGGTTTAAGCTGTAAGCATAGTGGTTAATTATATTTTACAATTAAAATGTTTATCCTACGAAAAATCGTTTTTTTTTTAATATCGTGTATATATTGTTTACATAATATGACACATATTTTATCTAAGTTTTTTTTATATATACTCTCATGGATACATGCATAGACGTATAGTACCTGAATGTATTTATGAATTTTTTGATAAACTATCATGATGATAATATGTAACACATAACACCAACCGTATTTTTATACATAATCTGAAATAAAAAATAATGAATACAAATAGTTATATTAGTTATAACTAGTAATTTATAACATTAATTGAATAATGGTATTGATAATACCTAATGATAGGTACTACAATTATTCACGACCGGAAAAAATTTTAAAGTTAAATATTTAAGGGAATATATCAACATGCTAACATTAAAATTATTTATATATCGCATAGTTTTTTTTTTGTTTTTTTTAATAGATTCAATTATTACATGAATATAAAAATTACATAATAAACTTATAGATTATTTACCTTCTAAAAGCAATGCTTGTGTTGAAGGTAGAGAGCGACAAATTACTTACAGATAGTAATTAAATAATATAAATACAAACAAAAGAATAATACTTAAATAGAGTAAACATATTATATAACTACCCCATTGACAATATTAGCCAGTCATTAACAGTTTTTTTGAAATTTTTATGATTATTTATTATATTCTTCTTAATAATAGGTATTTGGCATGGAATTAAAATAARTAGGTCCCAGGTAGTCAACGAATTTTTGACCAAAAGATTTTTTTAAATATAACACTTTAACATCGTGTGCTAGATGTTCCCTTTTTGTTTTTCCATTTTTTTTAGTTTATGTTTTTACCAACCCATAAAATGGCAATTTTTTTAAATAGTTAATCCACAGGTAATACATTTAATAATTTAAAGTTTTGACTTGTTGAACCTTCAAGAGTAGGTTTCTGAAGACATATTCGAACAATTTGTCTGTGTTGAATAGATAAAGGTTTTAGAGCATTAGCAGAAAGGCCTCCCCAAATAAGTAGACTGTATTGCAATAATGCTTGATATAATGCTAGATATACTGTTCGAACAACATATATTGGTACTACCACTCGTAATTTATAAAAGTTATAACTTATAGTACGTAAACGCATTAATAAATTGTTTACGTGTAGATTCCATCTTAAATTCTTATCATAAATTAGACCTAGATAACGAATACTAGAGACCCTTAATAACGTTTTACATTTTATTTCTTTACATGAGTTATTATTATCACAGACATGAATTTTTAATGTATCAAAGTTTTCCTCTCTATTATTAATCATAAAGTTCATAGACATTGTTTTATCATAATTTATCGATAGTTTTCTATGGTTAAGAAAATCGACTATTCTTTTAAACCCTTTAGTAGCTTTAATACGTGCATCAACCCATGTGTTGAAGAGTAGGCATGTATCGTCAGCATAAGAAGTTATAAGTCCTTAAATTTTTAAGTTACAGATACTATTTATATACAAAATAAATAAAACGGGACCCAATACACTACCTTGTGGAACTCCACAGTTTACTACCATTTCATTACCAATAAAATTATTTATTCACACTATCTGTCTTCTGTCATCCAAATAACTTTTAARCCAATCTAAACTTAAAGAATTAATACCAAATTCAGGCAAAATATTTAAAAGTTCTGTGTGATTCACCGTGTCGAACGCTTTGGCTAGGTCCAAAAATATAGCCATTACTTTCTTATCATCATCAAGTGCAGAATTTATAAAACGTGTGACGTTGTATAATGCGTTTTCCGTACCTAATCCTGGTCTAAAACCAAATTGATTTTTAGACAGAAGTTCGAATTTTTCTAAAAATATGATAAGTCTATTTTTAACAATTTTTTCAAATATTTTGGAGAAATTACTTAACATTGAAATGGGTCTATAGTTATTTATGCAAGTTTTATCTCCGTTTTTGAAGAGAGGTTTGATTACTGCCACTTTAAATTTCTCCGGAAATATACTGTTTTTAATACTTAAATTGTAAATATGTGTTAAAAGACATCATTTTAATAGCTACACTTTTAATTATTTTAACCGAGATTCCATCAAAACCTGCAGCTGTTTCATCTTTTAAATTATTGATAACCTTTAGAACGTCAGTTTCACAAATACTATCAGTGAATCCATCAAATCCATATTTTCTTAATATTTCCATAAGTTTCTGTAAATCTGCGTGTAGGGTATCTATACTGATTAGTCTTGGGGGTATTTTCCCAATTTTACAATGTATTTGTGTACATGTGTCTCTTTCAAAATTTATAATTATATTATATTATTTCCTAATAACAATCTGCATGTTAAGCCTTTAAGTACGTAATATGCTTTTATTTCATATTCGGTACCTTGAATATTTATTTTTAATAATATCGTTCCCATGTTTTCTAATACAGAATCGTTTGCACTAGTGATAATTGTTTGCTTCCTTGAAACAATTTCTTCTCTGTTTTTTATTAAGGAATATTCTATACATAAAATGTTTGAACATGTGTCCAGTATTGCATGTTCTATTTTATTTTCAAATTGCGTTTTTATTGATAAAACTCTATTTTTCCTAATTGTCTCTTCTTGTTTATTTGACTCATATTTTATAGTTTTATTTTCGTACCATTTTTTTCACAAAGTGTAGATATCTATTATTTTCTTTATTAATTATTATTTTTTTTCTTCCCGAGTTAGTTTTCCGAAATTTCCGCCCAACCCGGTCGTTTCAAGTTTTTTATATTGTGACATTGCGTGGCATAGTGTCCCCTTTGGTCACATTTGTAGCATACTACTGATTCCATGTTTCTTTTCATTTCTCCTTGTCTGTCCTCATTCCTATATCTTTCCGATGTTCTTGACCTCGTTTGTCTGTCTCTACTGCCTTGTCTATTATAAGTATGTGTTTTTTTCTAATTATCGTGTTGTTGGTATCTTCTCTCTCTTGAATACGACCTATCTCTATTATTTCTCTGATTTTCCCTTGAGTATGATCTGCCCCTATTATAACCTCTTGCGTTCTGACTGTTCTCGTGACCTTCATGGATATGGACTTTTATACCTATATTCTTCTGTTAAATTATAATCTCTATTTCTGTCGTAATTTCGTCCTCTTGTATCTCTATCCGGTGTGTACGTTCTGTACCGTCCTTCGCCGTGTCTACCTTCAAATTCAACTGTTTTGTTTAATTGTTTTCCCATTATGTTTAAACGCTTTACCTCTTCACTTATTTGGTCTATTCTTCTCCTGTATTCTTCATTCTCTTCTGAAGTTTCTTTTTTTCTTCCATATCTTTTTCATCATGATATTTTTGTAATTTTATTATTTGTAAATTCAACATATTCATATTCACTCGTGGTTGTTCCCCTGTTACTTATTCTGTGTTGCATTAATTCAAACTTATTTAGGTTTTCTTTTAATTTTTTTAATGTTGTATTATCCTGCATAGAAATTGTTTGTAAAATGTTTTCTTTAAGACCTTTTAACACAAATGTGCAGATATCTTCTTCTTTCATTTTATTATCAATTTGTCTGCACAAGCTTTCTATTTCTATCATGAAATTTGTTGCCGTTTCGGACTCTCCCTGTCTCTTATTTTCTAAAATTGTTTTTAATAATGCTATGTGTCCAATTGGGAGATATTGTTCTATGAACGCCTCTTCCATTTCCTTCCATGTCCAGTTATCTTTTATACTATATACATTGTCCAAAAAATTGCTAGCTGTACCTCTCACAAACATTGGTAAAAATTTTATTTTGTCTTTTTCCGACCAATTATTAAATTCCGTAATCATGGAGTATTGTCTTAAAAAACTTTTTACGTCTTCATTTCCCGTGAAATGTTCCGGAGTTACATGTAGTGTTCTCGGTCTTTCATTCATTATGGTTTTCTCTTGTTTTCTTTCTGTAATGTTATTTATTAATTGTTCTTCCTTATTCACTTCTGTAATTAAATCTATTTTATTGTTCTCACTTTGTAAATCGATTTTATTTCCTAAATCAACGTTTAAATTTTTATTTGTCATACTATAATCTACAGATGCAACTTCGACATAGAAGGATAGAAGTGTTCTAATTTTTCTTTCTCTTGTTTATTAATTATTGTTCCAAAAGTATTGTTATATAAGTTGTTACTTGAATTTAAAATATTATTGTATACTAATGAATTACTACTGTCCGAAATTCCCTTCGCCTCTATTCTATCTAATTTCTCTACCATGCTGCTTGTTTTTGTAATGTCCCCCGAAAATCCTGCCTCTAATTCCTGGTTAATTCCTGAATTAAAATTAATTATTTCGTATTCGTTTTCCTTATTTTGATAAAAGTTTTCACAACCATCAATAATTTTTTCAATTTTTTTTTGTGATATCTTGTGCTTTATTATTTAAATTATCGTACACCTTCTTACTCTCTGCTATCTCTTTACTTAATTCTTGGTTATTTAATGATGTTTCATTTAATTCTGCTTTTGTATCAATGTCCCTAATTTTATTGTTTATTGATGTATCTATAATATTCCGTTTTTCAATGTCATTTAATGTATCTTCTAGGTCATTGAATGTTGATTTCCCCTTGTAAAAATTTGATAATCTAGTTCTTATTTCATATACTGTACCTACTGATTTTAATTTATTTAATATGCAAATTTCTATAAGTTCTGTTTTTTCTTTAAGTAAATGTCTGTTAATTTCGATATAGCAAGTGCCCTATTATTATCTTTGTTCATATCCCATTAATAAATATATAAAAAAAAATTGATAGATAAATAACTATACTAATAATAAAATAATAATAATAAAAAAAATTTAAAAAAATAAGTAAAAAAATTAAAAAAAAAAAATATATATATATAAATACTAATCTTGTTGCGCTATCTGAGAACACGCACTGTAGGATCTAGACAAAATCGCGTATGATCAACACACACAAATGCTGGCTTGAAAACATCCGCTTCGAGTACATCGCATACACAACTGGAGGAATCCAAACATAAAATTCTCGTGTACTTAATACAGAAACACACACACACACACTGGTCTCTCGAAAAATCATGTATCAACCTACACATACACACACACACACACAAGAAAGCTGTAGAGTAACGAGCCACGAGTAGGGCCCCACTTTGTCGAGTCACACGATCACCACCACTGACCTCCTTGCTGCCTTAGCCATATCTCTTATATATTAAACTCACAATCGAATTATTATTGATTGTTTTAGATTCTGAACGAAGTGATGAAWGTATTGATTTTACAATGATGTGTGTTTTTTTTCTGTGTACAGCATAACTAGTCGAAATAATGCTTCATTTTCAAACTTTGGGGGTGGTTTCCGATGTAAAA